CGGCAAGCTCAGGCCTAGAGGGGGGAACCGCTTCCAGGGCGAGAAGCACTCCCCAAGGAAGGAGCCACCCCCCGCCCAATCCCTGTCGCTCCCTACCCCAGCTCACCGGCCGCCAGCGATCGGCTTCTCTCGATGTCACTGACCCCTAGGCATCGTGCCCCAGGAGGAGAGCTCCCGGCCCGGATGTGGACGCCGGCTGGGAGACCGGCCAAGGGCGGGGACCGGAGCGGCTGGGCCCGGGGACTTAGGATCGGCCTCGCGACCCGCCCGGCGCCGCTCAGCTGACCACAGCGCCAGCTCCCCGCCTCTGCCGGGGAATTTCTCAGGCTCCGCCCAAGGCACGCCTGTGGCCACGCCCCTCGTGGCCTCGCCCAACGTCCCGCCCCTCTCTCTCCTGCTGGTGCCCAGCGTTCCACTCTCACTGCTTTGGTGCAGTGCCAAGCTCCCCACCCAGGGGGTAGGAAAACGCTTAGGTGACAGACAGATGTCCTTAATTAAGATAAAGTACGAATTAGAAGAAGCGGGTGGAATCGGTCTTCCCTGATTTGCTTCTTGCTCTGCAAGACCAGAGCAGCAGGTCTTGGAAAGAGGAAGAGGGTCCCAGGCAATGTATATATATGTGTGTATATATCATACACACACACACACACACACACACACATATTAGTTGGACACAATACTTTTATTTTTATTTATTTTAATGTGGTGCTAAGGGTCGAACCCTTAGCAAGTGCTAGGCGAGCGCTCTATGGCTGAGTCACAACCCCAGCACACCCCCCCACCCCAGGCAGTTTCAAAATGAAGCCTTTATCTGTTTTAAATCAACCTTAAATCTAGGCATAGTTAATAGCATAACAGCTTTCCATCCCAAAGACACCTCCCCTTTTGCCTTAATTGAAAAGAAAGTGTTCAGGATGCTAATTGGGCTCTTATTCTTCCAGATCTGTTAACACCTGGATGCTTCAGATGCCCCAGGCAGGTGGGATTAATGGATTGATCAGGATCATAATTGTGAAGCAGTCTTTGCTGTTGTGGGAAGTATTGATCTATTATGCCAAAGAGGGGAAGATGCTTCTGCATTGGACAGTAGAATTAAAGGGTTGAAAACAATAGGAGAGAAGATCTTTCCTGGTGCAATCCAAACACCGGAGAAAGCATCAGTGAGGCATTGTCATAGGACCCAGACTTCAACTGATCACAAGGGCAAGGACTTGGTCAAAGTGTTGAGACCAAAAAGGGGATCCCAGAGCAAGACACGTAAACAAATTAGGGTGGGATCACAGGTGGTCTGGGAAAGCGTTTGTGAGCAGGTTTGTATTTAAGGTAGAAAAGAATGTCATAACAGGGAAGAACTTGATCTAGGAATACAAGTGTTGACTGTGTTACAGTTAAAAGCTTCATCCTAGGGTTTTATAAACTGACTTCCAGACCACTCACATATAATTGAATCAAGTCTTTATTGAAGCACACCGATGGCGGCTGACCAGAACATAAAGTTGTTCCCCTGATCAGCCCCGAACAATTGCAAGGGCACTCCTTATAAGCCTGAAAACCCCAAAAGGGATGTTGGGGGGGGTCTAGACAATGCAAGCAAGCCAGGTTACAGAAGCGGGACAGTGCAGTCAAGCGGAGGGAAACCTAGCCAATCACAGTTAGCCCAGTCACCCCAGTTACAGAAATAGAGCCCCATTACCCTAGTTACAGAAATAATACCCCATTAGGTAGTTTTGTGTTCTTAAAGGTTCCTATAGCAAAAGGAATAGAACATCTTGCCCCAGTCATGACTCTTTTCCTTGGCATGGTTGTTTTATAGGATGAAGTCATAAAACAAAATGAAGTCACATTTGCTCCTACTATCACAACTGTTACTCACATCAGTGGGAGTAAGCAGCGCATGTTACTAATCTATGGCTGCTCACAAATGGGAAATAAACAAAATCCTAATCATTGCCTGGAGCCATTGTGCATGCCTATAAACACAGATACTGCAGAGGCTGAGGCTGGAGGATCACAGATTCTGCTGGCCTAGGCAGAATTAGTGAGTTCCTGTCTCAACTAAAACAAAAAGGGATGGGAATGTGGCTCAATGGTAGAGCACTTGCCCAGTATGTGGAAGATTCTGGATCCCATTAGCAGCAACACACACTCACAAGCCCTCCTAACCCAAAAAAGGAAAAAGGCAGAAACACCCTCTCCTCGTGTACTGCAAAGGTATAGCTTTGCTGTGTAGATCTCCTGCTGCCTGGCTCTCAACAAGCCCCTGGTGTTAATTAACCAAAAGTGGGTTGGGGTCTGAGAATATAGGACAAAAACACAGTTTCTCCCATCCTCTTACTCCACAATCAACACAGAAGAGTTCTATGACCTCTGATCACCAAGAAGTGTGTGTATGTGTTGAAATGCCCCCCCCACACACACCAACAACCAGCTCTCTGGGTGACATTGGCTGGGTGTCCATTAATTCAATTATAACTCTATCTACCTGGATGTGGTGGCACATACCACAGGATAAGGATTCAGTCCCATGGGACTGACCCCCACTTCCAATGCCATTTGCAATATCTAGGTTGTTTGACAAGAGTTTCTGACCAACTGACAAACTAACAATAAATTGGGGTTTCCAGGAACCCTTTGTTTAACCCCAGGGCTGCAAATGTCACAAACATACTGTTTACTAATCACAAAGAAAGAAATCAAAGGATTCAATGGAGGGGGTTTGGATATTACAATGGAGGGCTGCATTGCATTTAGAAGCAGGGGAAATGTACAGGATAGGGGGCATATCTACTGCCCAGGTGGACAATCTAACATTTCCTTAGATGTTTTATAAGTACATTTTTCTACTTTACAACCAAAGTCACTGCTTTGATCCTTATCTAAAGATTGGTGACAAGGCAAGTGTCTAGTTTCCCCTCTCTATTTCCATTATCACATTCTTGAGAGTCCTTCATAACTACTTTTTGGAACAGCAAACTTTCTTAGGTACTAACTAGTGTTTACCCAAACACTCCACTCCTTCAGTGCCTCAGAAGCCCTTAAATGTACTGCCCATGTCTTTTGGAAAGTCCTTGGGACAGAGCTCTGGAGCCCTGCATCCATATCTTACTAGGGCAGTACAAAGAGCAAGAACCTATCAACAAGGATGTTAAAGTAATGAAGATTGCAAGTCCATTTCATACCCAGGGAAGTTCTTCTGCTGCAGGTACACAGAATTCTGAGTAGATCCAACAGTGGGTCTGGTTGGCATGATGTGCAACTTCTGTTGCCCAGTCCAGGAAAAGGTTACTTGTTGCTAACCTATGGAGAATATGACAAATGTTTAATGGGCACCAATAATGGCAAATCAGCTCCATTAGGCAGTATACCGGTTACTGTGTGATCTTGATGTTAGTAGAGGACCTTGCACAGTAGCCCTGCCTAAGCAAGTACACCATGCTATCTGTTTGCACTCTGGGGGCATAGAAAGAATAAGACACTCTGAAATGTAACTGCCATAAACTGATACAAAGTGTTCCTCAGATGTACAAGGGTGACATCGCTGGTACTTGTGAGGGCTAGGTTCCCCACACAGTGGGCTTTACTTGTAAGTTTAGGCTTGCAAGTAAACTTTAGACCCACAAGGGATCACAGTAAGGCAAATCATCGGGGGCTTCCATGATCAACTAATACTCCTTGTCTCTGATATGTTTTCAGGTGTCAGCAACAGTAAATTGTTACTTGTGTTCCCAAGCCAATTTAAGAAAATGTTCAGTATATTTTTTTTAGAGTTGTAGATGGACAGCATGACTTTACTTGTTTATTTTTATATGGTGCTATGGATTTAACCCAGTGCTCACACAGGCTAGGCAAGTGCTCTGCCTCTGAGCTCAGCCCCAGCCCATGAGTGGACATGAGTGAGTTAACATAGAAAAGTCTACATGCTGCTGATGTCTGGGTTTCTCATTTAATGCCCTCAGTGCTTCAGGCAGATGAGCATTCCACCCGTGCACAGAGTTGCCCTCAGTCCTTAAGACTTTTTTCAGTAGGCCATTCATTCCAGTTAACCCAGCTCCTTTTAAATAGTGTGGCAGATGGAAAATCCACAATATGTCTTGGTTTTGAGCCCACTGTTATATGTCATGGCCTGTGAAACAGTCTCCTGGTCACTCAATTACCTGTGGTGTGCCATACATGGAACTCAACAGGATCAGTCCCTTAACAAAGAGCCTTTGAATTGACTCTTTTACTGGGGAAGGCTTGCATCGAGCTTGTAACTGTGTCCACACAAGTCAATGCATAGCAGGTCCCTTCTGATAATGGGAGAGGGCCAATGTACTCTATCTGCCACTGCTGAAGAGGGACAGCACCTTGTTTGATATGCCTTTTGGTGGCATCCAGTCATTGTGAGTAGTGCTGACAGCAAGCAAGACATTGCTGGAATGCAGTGACCGTATCAGATATCTTCATGTGCAGTCCCCAGAATATTATAGCTGGAAACATAGTCTTGTCCAGTATGATTAATCTATGATGTAACCAAGTGGCAATTTTCTCCTCTGTGTCTTTCTCCAGCCATCTTATGTTTGCTAGTTGTATGACCTTGACTGGTTCTACTCTGATGGTTATGGGCTTTGTGGCAAGAAGAGTAGCACAAGTAGCATACAATTATTTTTCCAACAAGTAATAATGTTCCCTTATCCCTTTCTATAACTGTGAAAAAATCCACAAGAAGTCTCATGTCCCTTAATCCAATGCCAGAAGCCCCAATCAAAATTATTTAGGCTGACATGGACAGTAAGCTCAGTAGGTATCAATCAATGTGTCTATTGTCCCAAGGGCATGCACCTGTTTTGTTGTTCATTTGGCTTGATAAATAACTCAGTACTCTAGTCAGTCCAGTCCTATAATGTACCCCTCCTGCACAAGTTACATAGGGATCATTATAACTGACCCAGATGAGGGAATGGAAGCCCTCCAATGGCCCAGTAGCCCCACAAATTCTTGTATTTGCTTACTATGTTGGGAGGTAGACATATTTGAGCTTCATCTATAACAACTTGAGTTATAACCTCTGTTTTACTTGACCAGACAACACCAATAAGCCAGGCTCCTGCATTTTTTCAGGATTTACAGCTATTATCTTCTCCTTTGCAAGTCAGTCAAAAGCATGGGGGTAGCCTTGATGTGCACTGAAAGAAAATCAGATATGATCATTATGTAAACATTTTTACCAGTGGAGGGTTGGGACCAGGTTTATTACCATTTTATGAAACAAGGTGGGGATATCCTTGAGGTAATATGGTGAAAGTCCATAGTCTGCTTTCCCACATGAAGGCAAATGGGTCTCAA